AACCAGAAAAAAACGATAAAATTTTGGGAAACATAATGATAAAAGAAGACTTGGAAAGCAAACTGGAAGCAGGGGAAAGCAGAGAGTAAACTACTTAACGAGTTTGAATGAATCAACGGTAGAAAAAAAATAAAGAGCAGTGGTAAAATGAACAAAAGTTACTTAGAGCAACGAAAGGACAAGAAGTTGAGGAGAGCCATGACTGAAAGGATGCAGTATATAAAAGACGAACAATAATGGTTACAATGATACTGGCTGAAGAACAAACCGGAAACGGAAGAAGTGTAGAAAAGTAAAATAATTCCGGAATTTCGGCTTTCTAGCTTGTTCTATTCAGGCGAGAGGACATGAAAGGACATTATCGCAAATAACCATCAGGGTATCCCATCGATGTTACGATGCCGAAAGGGTTAAGGAATCCTACTGGTGAAAAATGAAAACAAAAATGACAATTATCAATAGACTATAACCAAGAGATCTGGAAACTACAGAACACGAAGAGAAGTATCGAACTAATAATAGTCGATGGCATTATTCTGACTGTTATCCTCACCTTCATTGCCATATTCACAATGTCTCTGCCGTTGTATAGAATCATGACCCAGTAGATAAACAGGTTCGTTAGATCCAGTTACTAAATCCAAAGTGTTGTGAGTTCAATACCAGGCTACAGCAGCGGTGAACGAAAAACTTGGAGACTTGAGTTAAAGGGAAATAACTGAGACATCCGGAAGAGGCATGGCATGTGGAACGAGAACAATCTACCCTGGTGGATGAAATAAAAGGTTCGGTTCGAAATTTCAATCACCTGAAGAAAGCCAGAGCGTACAACGGCCGAAACGTTGTGAATATGGCAATGAAGACGCGGATAACAATCCAAATACTGCAAGTAAGCATAATGCCTCATCTCAGAGATATAGAGGCCGAAACGTTGTGAATAAGGCAATGAAAATGAGGATAACACTCCGAATAATGTAAGTAATCATAATACCTCATCTCAGAGATATAGAGGCCGAAACGCTGTGAATAAGGCAATGAAAATGAGGATAACACTCCGAATAATGTAAATAATGTAAGTAATCATAATACCTCCTCTCAGGGATATAGACAGATAATAATAGCTACTATACTTGAAACAATTTTGACTTCTCTCAGATGAATAAAAGAGAGACACAGAAAAAATCCCACTTAACTCCAGAAAGGAAAGATTCTTTAACGCTGACAATATATCACTTGGTTTTTTCGATCCGTCCCATGACCAGTAAGCACATCACCAGCTCCCTACCATATGTCTCGCTTGAGTGTCAATATATGAGTCGCTCTAAATTATCTTCCAGTCCACTAAATGACATTGTCGGTGTATTTTTCTTCCTCTATCTCCTTTTTTTTGTGGTACCGTTTACGGTTGCAATAGAAATATTATTTGTTTTTACGACCCGTCTTTACCATTCCAACTTTCTCTTCTTGGCATTGGTAATAAGCTCTTTCAACGAACCAGTTTCTTGCCTAAAGGTGCTTCGCATGGCGTCATTTGTGACGTGGTCAACGTAGGCGATGCCTAGGATGGTTCTGTAGCACCACAATTCTAATGTTTGGATTCTTTGCTCTAATTCTGCTGTTAATGTCCAAGATTCGCAGACTGGTAGCTAGTCAGAATCAGGGGAATTCTTGCAGGATTTAAAATAATTATAAATAGAATTGTAAATACCTGCTTTGTTTTTCTACTTAAAAATAATCATCATAAGAAGGATAATATTGATTCCATTATTGTTGTTATTTTCAATCGTTATTCATTAGGAAAAAAATAACTCTTCTTTTTACGAACAGGAACTAACGTGTCTGATTGAATTCCAGCGTTGGTTCCAAAACCAATAGTCACGATACAATCAAGAGTTACAAGGAGCCTCCCCACTGTAGCAAGACATGGCCATTTTGACAAACACGTGCTTGGAAAACAGGGTTCACCTATAAATGCACACTGCTCCTCGCCTACTTTCCATCATCATGTCGTGTGCGTGGGACGGTATCAAGATGACTGTCAGTGGGACATAATGAAGGGAATTGTCTTTTGTTAAAGAGTTTTATTCTTAAATGAATCAATTGTAATTCGGTTTTCCGATGCTATTCTCAAACATTAGAATTGGCCAAGAGATAAACATACAGAATGGGTTTTAGATTTGTGCACCCGAAAAAAACTGTAGAATCTAAATTTTATGGCTACGACAAAAGCCAAATAAAAATATATTCAATAGTTTGAACAATTCTTTGAAATGTACAGCTGATGAAGGATTTGTAACGGACCAGTCGAAACGTCGTATGAAAAAGAATAGCAACATTAAGGACGAATTCTTTTTTCTTTCTTTTTTTACCTGCAGTGACTTGCGGAATTAATTTGGAGAAAAGTCCAGGTTACAACAAATGCAATGTTAAGTCTGATTACAACAGCTCGTGAATTGTTTACTTACAGAAAACTGTAGAATGGAAGTGGCGAAATGTCTTTGTTGCAACAAAAGCAGTCTAAGAATGTACTTAACGGAACAATATTCTGAATTATAGCAGAGACGAAGTATAAAACCGCGATGAAAAAAAAGCAAGCATCATTAAGAACTAGCTAAAAATTCAGAATAAGTATTGAAATATTGTGTTTTATCGATCATCCCCGCAACACTTGAATAAAATCTCGAAAACCCTTGCAAAAGAAGGAAGAATTACAAACCTGAGAAACAAATGCTATTTGCCCATAGCTGGGACCCTAACAGGTACTACCACACCGGGTCAGGGTGGACATGGGAACACCCATATGAAACCTATACTACAGAGAGTGCTGGAGTATAAAGGAAACTTTCAAGCTTGTATCCTTATCACTCACTTTTGCCATTCAGACACTATTTTATTATTGGTTGCTATAGTCATAACTTTTCGATCTATGTACCCTCCGAGCGTCTTCAGTTGACAGTTGTAGTTTGTTGGTTAGTTGTGTTTTACGGGATATCAACCTCAATGGGTTATTTAATGCCGACAACTTTTTTTTTTCCTGTTAATATTGTTTTGTCAAAAATCTATTTCTGACAATATTTTTTTCCTCAAAAATGTATAGCCGGTAATATTATTTTAAAAAATGTATTGCTGGTAATTTTTTTTTTTCAAAAAAGTATTGCTGGCAATATTTTTTTCAAAAATATTATGCTGGTAATAGTTTTTTTTCTTCAAAAATTTATTTCTAGTAACTATTTTTTTTACAAAGTATTTCTGGTATTAAAACCTATTTTTACACTTTTATAATGCTTTTTACCTCAGTTTCAGGTTAACTATTTGCCCGTAGCTGGGACCCTAACAGGTGCTACCACCCCGTACCTGGGAACACCAGCAATTAAGAGGTGATTCCACGCTCCTCAAAACCTCCTGACCAGAGGCCTTGCTGTTGGACGTAGTTTATCGTCTTATCCTGGACGTGGACACAGTTTATCGTCTTACCCTGGACGCGGACGCAGTTTATCGTCTTACCCAAGACGGTTGACTGTTGTAGTTAATAGACTACCTCAAATTTCGAACCGGACCCTATATTCAATTCACGAACATAAAGTGTTCTCATTCCGTTCACATTCCGCAGTACATGGTGAAATACGCAGTAAAAGTCAGGTGAGTATAATGTTCAAAATATTGTAACCATAACCAACAAGGAAAGGACAATAATTTGAATACAGCCTAACAATAATTCCTCATTTAAAATGTTCATACAAATTCATTGTAATGTGAAACTTGAGAAAGTATCTAAATGCTAAACTTTTGGTCGAGTGTTACAAATATGATGAAAGATGAAAATAAATCCAATGCTGGAGATCACTGCAGGACAAGAAACCAATCCAAAGAACCTTATATAAAAGACTGGAAAAGTGAAAAATCCTATGTCTCAAACATGATTAAAATAATGGTAATGCCGATGTTCAGTAGAAGACTAGGAACTTATCCAAACACTCATGCATAAACGACTGAAAATGTAAAAAATCCGATGGAAATAATGGTAATGCCGCCGATCAATGGAAGACGAGGAACCAATCCAAAGACCTTCACATAAACGACTGTTAAAGTAAAAATCCGATGTTACAAATATAATGAAAATAAAGGTGATGCCGATGATCACTGGAAGACTAAGAACTAATTTAAAGATCCTTGCATAATTGACTGGAGATTCGATAAGATTTGTTGTCACTTGGTTCTTAGAGATTGCTTGTATTTATTTGGTATGGAATGGCAAATAATGATGATGAAGATTTAAAAAAATAATTTCAAGTGTAGAATTGACAGTTACACGGATATAGCTTATTATTGACGTTTGCACTTGTTTTTCAACATTTATTTTTCACGTGTCAAATTTAGAAAAAAAAAGAAGAATGAAAAGAAGTGTCTTCCTTTAGCGCTATGATAGTAAACTTGAGAATACAAATATGGCGTCGCTTATCTAATAAGAACTTTTGTTTTGCTTGCCACATGAATTTGATTATATCTGATATCTGAATCAGAAAGATGGGCATTTTAAAGCTTAACCCACCCATGTTTATACTAACAAAACGAAACTATTTTAATCAGATAATCAGTTACCTTTTCAATAAAAAAAAAAAAAAATCGATTGGGGTGCTTTTTACGGCTTATCAACCTTTTGCAGGCTATTTAAAGCAAAAAAAAGTCTTTGTATTGTAAGAATTTTGGGGAAATAATAATGATGATTTACTGATACAAGTCCAACTAATTAACCCATAGCTGGGGGAGAATAGGTGGAGTCATACCTATCTCAAGGGTATTGAAAAAACCGACTGGAATGGGAACTCGGCTCTCCGTTATATATTACACCAGCCGCACATCAAAGCTTACAGAACCTGGCATTCGGTCACCCAGCTAGGTACTGACCAGACTCGATGTTGCTTAACTTCGGTGATCCTACGAGAACCGGTCTTTAAACATGATATACTTGTAAGGCCTTTATACTACTCGCTCATCCAAACTTACAACACCTGGCATTCCTAAGAGGTCACCCATTTAGATAATGACCAGGCTCGACGTTGCTTAACATCGGTGATAGTACGAGAACCGGTGTTTCAACGTGATATGGCTGTAAGACCTTTATTCTACTCGCACATTCAATCTTACAGCACCTGGCGCTCCCAAGCGGCCACTTTTCTAGGTACTGACCAGGCTCGACGTTGCTTAACTTTGGTGATTGTATGATAACCGATGTTTCAACGTGAAATGGCCTTAAGCCATACCACCCACACATGTAAGCTTACAGCACTTGGTATTCTCAAGGTGGTCACTCATCTAGGTAGTGACCAGGCTCGACATTGCTTAACTTGATCGTACGATAACTGGTATTTCAGCGTGAAATAGCCTAAAGCCAACTTCACCTCTAGGTGAATCAGGATCTATTAAAACGGGTGTTGGTGGTGGTGGGGGGGTATACCATACACACAGACCTGAATATCCAAATGTAACCCCAGTAGGTAAATGTTTGTTTGTTTGTTTGGGTTTTATGGTATATCAACCACTGTGGGTTATTTAATGCAAAATCCAGTTTATTATATATATATATATATATATATATATATATATATATATATGCCAAATATATGAATTTTAAAGGCCTATTTTGTATGGAACATTTTTAGCAAGCTAGAGCTTATTTGCTTGCACACTGCAAAATAATCCTAGGTATTTTTGGTTAAGTCAAGAATTTCCATTTGATTGTTGATTGTTTTGTTTAACGGCATCTCAACCTGAGTAGTCACTTTATGCCGAAAATGATTTTGAGTGACTTTAAAAGTCAAAAACGTATAGCTGGCAACATTATTGTTTCAAAAACGTATAGCTGGCAACATTATGGTTTCAAAAACGCATAGCTGGCAACATTATTTTTCCGAAAACATTATCTGAGACCTTGCTGTTGGATGTAGTTTATCGTCATACTCAGGACGCGGATGTAGTTTATCGTCATACCCAGGAGGTGTAGGTAAATGAAGTCCAGATATTTCTTGTAATCTCAGAAAATGTTTGTATATTAGTGAAGCCGAACATCCAACGTTTGAGTTGTGTATTCTATTTCTAGGTGCTTTGTCCCTTCAGGACGTAGGGATTCATCGTTCTCCACAGCTTCTTATCTTTTACAAATCTAAGCAATGTTTGTCACCTTACTCATCCCAAGATGGGCACCTCAAGGCGGTGTAATGGTTAGCAAGCTTGTCTCGCTAGAACAATTACGACTGAGTAGTGAGTTCGATCTTCACTGGGTACCCCATACTTTCGGCCTTGTGCCACATCTAAGCTACGCTTGGAAAATCACTACTCACCCCAAGATCGTCAGGCAGGTTTTCTCGCTATTTGTTTCTGCGCATTTTGCTTCCAATATGTCCTGTGAGAATCAAATTCACTAAAACCTCTTTCTTTATATTTTCTAGAAATTTCAATAGTCTTTTTCTGATCATTTTCGCTTTCATTTTCCTTAAAACTTCCTTGTTCAAATGTTCAGTCCATAGTTTTTCAAAGCATTCTTCTATAGAACTACGTCTCTGTTTCTTCGAGTTGTCCTCTTCATCTGTGGAGAGATTGTCCAGCATTTCCTGTCATGTAGAAGGATTGATATCACAGAGCAGTTCAGCACCCTTTTTATTGGTTTCAAACGAAATCTACCATTCGTCCGTGCATTGGATACTGCTGCCATGCCTGGGCTGGTGCTTCTCCTATTCATCTCGAGGTTCTTGATAAAATCCAAAGAAGGAACTGTAATATAATCGATCTTAACTTGGCATCTTGACTTCAGTCATTTTCTCACCGACTGTCTTTTCTACAAATATTTTCATGGCAACTGCTCTGAAGAGTTTTTTTTTCCCTGAAATTTAAGCGTGCTACTCGATTGGTATCTACGTCGCATCCATTTACTGTTGAAATAACTGAAATGCAACTGTCACTTCTACTCCAACAGTTTCTTTTCTCGGACTTCTCGCCTTTAGAACTCCCTTCCTATTTCTTGCTTCCCTGTTAACTACAATCTTCAAAAATTTAAATGCAACGTTAATCGCCATCTTCTATCTTTTTGAATGCCGTTCATCTTTTGCCCTTTCCTCAATCCTTCCTATACCCAGTCATTTTTTTACACTAAAGTTGACCCTTTAGAAGGCCCGGGAGCCACTTGAGGTAGAGGGTTACGTTTGAAGGAAATTTGTACGGATAGGAGCAGAAGATATCGGTTAACTCTAACCTTGAACAGGTTAAGATTGTAGTGATCGGGGAAATAACCTCTTGGGAGTCGGTTCCACAGGGCAGTGGTTCGCGGGAAGAATCTATCTGAGTGGAACTTACTTTCTCAACGATGAAATACGGAGGGAATGTGGGTGGTTTGCTACTATGTAAGGGGCATGGCGTGTCCTTGCCGTGAAGGCTCGGACTGGCGGGACCAGGGAATGTAGTTCGTCCGAGCACTATCCGTAGAAGTGGCGATAGAGCAGGGAGAGGCTTGCCACATCACGCCTATAGGGTGGAGAATAATTCGTCACCCGCAAGGGCTCAGAGACGCTTTTGCACACTGTCAAGGCTGGAGAGTTAGGTTTAGACAGCTTCCACCTAAATATGACAACAGTACTCCATTTTTGGCCTGACCTGGCTCTTGTGAAGGTAGAGGATAGCAGAGAAGCCGGTCTTTTCTCTTACTTTCACTCCATTTAACCCTCTGGGTACTAGTAGCATTTCCTCGTTGCCTGGGGTGAAATGATTAAAAAAAAAAAAAAGAAGCTGGCATAAAAAAATTATACACTATTTACACTGTTGCCCTCATCTTCGTTGCCATATTCACACCGTTTCTGGCTTTCTTCAGGTGATTGGAATTTTGAACCGAACCCTTTATTTCGTCTACCGAGGTAGATTGTTCTAGTTCCACGTGCCATGCCTCTTCCGGGTATCTCAGTATCAGTTATCTCCCTTTAACTCAACTCTCCAAGTGTTTATGTAGGCAGGCATTGAGCTCACAACTCTTTGGGTCAAGTCACAGGATTCTACCAACGCTTTTATCGACTGGGCTAGACAGAAAAACTTTAATATTTGGCTAATGTAAAGCACCGTGTCCTTTCCGGGTGTGGGTGATCATGGCTCTCCGTTGAAGTATCGAGCAACTTATTGTACCTTCGCCAATTTCCCACCCCCAGTTCCACCATCCATTTAGACAAGCTCATCTGCTATATGGCCCGTTGCTTTCCCCTCTTCCTCTTTCCCTCTATATGCCCTGTGAGCGTCAAATTCTCCAAGCCATCTTTCCTCATAATATGTATAAGAAATTTCGGCATGCTCTTTCTCCCGCGCTCCATCTATGGAATTCTCAGCATCCTTCTGTAGAAACACATTTCTTTTACTTACAGTTTTCGATTCATCTGTGAGTAGATTGTCCAGCACCCACTACCATGCAAGTGGACTGATACTACGTAACGTTTAAGTATTCTTTTCTTTGTTTCTAACGAAATTTTCCCGTGCCTTAATACGTTGCTAGATTTATGGAAGGTACCCCGATATTATATTGGAATATGCGAGCAGAAGGTTTGATTTAGTTTGGTTTGTTTTACGGCATATCAACCTTGATGGGTCATTTAATGCCGACAACTTTTTTTCCCTGGTAATATTTTTGTTTTGTCAAAAATCTATTTCTGTCAATATTTTTTCCTCAAAAATATGTAGCTGGTGATATTATTTTTTCAAAAAAGTATAGCTGGTAATATTACTTTTCCAAAAACGTATAGATGGTAATATTAGTTTTTCACAAACGCATAGCAGGTAATATTATTTTTCCAAAAACGTATAGCTGGCAACACCATTCTTAAGAAAATAAACGTATAGCTGGTAATATTATTTTTTTTCAAAAACGTACAGCTGGCAATCAAAAACGTATTATCAGAGGCCTTGCTGTTGGACGTAGTTTAACGTCATACACAGGACGCGGATGTAGTTTATCGTCATACCCAGGACGTCACGAGCAGAAGGGAAATGCTGCAAATTGTTATCCCTCCTAAACCTTGTTGCATCGTCAATATACTCAATCTCCCACAGGTAGGATATATATTGTTCCCCCTGTTTTTTTTTTGCCTCCAATCTGTCCCGGATCAAATTTTCCTAATTATGTACACTAGAAATTTCAATTGTCTCTTTCTGGTGTTAAGTATAAGTGTCTTTTTTGTTTCCATGCCATCTAAAACTTCGTCGTTACTCACGTGTTAGGTCCATGATATTCTCAGCATCCTTCTGTAGAACCACCTTTCTGTTGCTTCAAGTTCCTTTTTCATCTGTACGGGGATTTTTCAACAATCACAGCAATATAGGAGGACTGATATTACATCATGTTTCAGTATTCTTTTCTTAGTTTCTAACGAAATTTTCCTGTTCCTTAATACATTGGTAGGTTTTTGGAAAGCACCCGACTACATATTGGAATATGCTAGCAGAAGGTAAATAGTGCTAATTCTCGAAACAAATGATAACATGAACATGGGTGAGAGAAGTTGAAGTAAACTCTCCAAGTCCATCTTCGATTTTGATCTCTTTCATTGTAATGTAGAGGGCAAGCATTCCTTTGGTTCTCATCTCCCTTCATATTCAATTGATATGAAGGAAGTTCTGTTTGAATAACTTACTCCTAATAGCTTCTGCTTTGTAGAAAAGACTCCTGAGAGGATGCTTTCCAGATCACTACAATATTAACCTCTTCAAGTCTAGGGTCAACAGTTAGCTGTCCTACTATCGTCCTTCTTGTCTCCTTTTTTTAAAATCCATAAAATAACCTTATTCAGTAACCCACTACCTTGAGTGGCTCTCGGGTCTTGTATTGGATGAAGAAAAATATACAAAAAGATATTGAAATTCTAAGAAGGTTATCAAGTGCGAAGACAAACACCTGAAGAAGGCTGGAGAGTAGAACAAGCGGAAACATTATGAATATGATAACAGAGATGAACACGCTAATCCGAATTGCAAAACATATAATGCTGATAAAAAAACTACTTGTCCCTCACTTAGTTTCTTAGTGAACGCAATCGTTACAACCTGCCAATACCTCATAAATAATGAAGCACTTTGATCACGTGGAAAGACGGAAGAAACATATTGGAGATGCTACCTGGTTTCATTGAGAAAATGAAAAGAAGGGAAAATAGAAGAGAAAATAACATTCTCGTGTTTAATGTCAATGAAATGGAAAACAGTGTCAATTTCATTTGTACCCTCTTACTTCTTTAAATAACGACCATCATTCATATCCGTAATTGTTATTGCAACATTTTGTGAAAGTTGTCATGCCCAAATATTTAATGATACGATATGGGATTTTTTCCGGGTATTTCATTGGCATAGAACTCGCCATGAACTTATTCAATTATTAAATTAAATATTAAGATTTATCAGAAAATTCAAATAACAATATCGTGAAATTTCTAGAGCCATCTCTCATACTGATAATTCCTCATCTAAAACATTCTTCAATATCTGCCTATAACTCTGACATGAGTTATTATGACTACTTACATTATTTACATTATTCTGACTGTTATCCTCAGCTTCATTGTCATATTCACAACGTTTCGGCCGTTGTACGCTCCGGCCTTTATGTCTATGTCTCTCTATATATCTGTCTATATCTCTAAGATGAGGTATTATGATTCCTTGCATTATTTGCATTATTCAGACTGTTATCTTCATCTTCATTGCATTGTTCACAATGTTTCGGCCTCTATATCTCTGAGATGAGGTATTATGATTACTTGCATTATTTACATTATTCGAATTGTTATCCTCATCTTCATTGTCATATTCACAACGTTTCGGCTGTTGTACGCTCCGGCCTTTATGTCTATATCTATCTATATATCTGTCTATATCTCTTACATTATTTGGACTGTTATCCTCATCTTCATTGTCATATTTACAACAGTTCAGTCTTTGTATGCTCTGGCCTTCTTTAGGTGATTGGAATTTCGATCGAACCTTTTATTTCGTCCTTCCGTGGATAAAGACGTTGGTTAGATCCAGTGACTAAACCCAAAATGTTGCGAGTTCAATACCAGGCCACAGCAGTTGTGAACTAAAAGCTTGGAGATTTGAGTTAAAGGGAAATAACTGTGACACCCGGAAAAGGCATGAACACGGGAAACTTGTACAATCTACTCCGGTGGTAGAAATAAAGGGTTCGGTTCGAAATTTCAATCACCTGGAGAAGGCCGGGGCGTACAACGACCTAAACGTTGTGAATATGGCAATGAAGACGAGGATAAAAGTTCGAATAATGTAAATAATGCAACTAAAAGATTCTGTTAAATGATCAGAGAGTTTTAACTGTTTTTTCCCAGTTCGTCTTCTCCCATCGACTCGAAACAGCGAATGACTTGCAATAAATTTCGGAAATAAAACGTGCATTCAAGACACGGAGAAAAAGAGAGTTGTTGGCAGAGGCTATTTGGGATCCAATTAGCCAGTGGAATGGTAAGAAAGCTTGTAATTACATATAGTTCAATATATTATTAATCTTGTCGAGCTCGTCTTCATAAAGGTAACTTTTTTTTTTAATGCGATATCGCAAAAATTGTGATTTCGTAGCGGAGAAGCGACAGTAAAAGTTTAGACATTTAGTCTGACAGATAAAGACACATGGAATCGTGCGTGTGTGTATATATATATATATATATATATATATATATATATATATATATATATATAAAGTAAAACTATAGGTATTTATTTGTCAGATAGATATAAAGTGAGTAAATGCCAAGTCTATATAACATAATTTGTTATTCTTATCATAAACATGCTTCGCATAAACCAGGTGCAATTCAAGAAGACATTTATGGGCTTTCTGTGTTCTTTAACACACAAAATAAGGTAATTGAATGATTAAAAAATATAATTTGACGCAAAAAAGACAAATGATGAGAAACTGCCCATTGCGGGAAACATGTAAGGAACTTAAAAAAAAAGCTTAAAATGTGATGGTAAGGGAGCCGAAAATAAGGAGAAAGTTAGGGAAGACAACGAAGAGAAAGAAAAAACAGGCTGACTGAATGAATTAAACAAGAAAGGAATTTAAAAAAAAAGGTTTAAAATGTGATGGTAAGAGAGCCGAAAATCAAGAGAAAGTTATAGAGGACAACGAAGAGAAATAAAAAGGGCTGACTGAATGAATGAATTAAACAAGAAAGAAAGGAATTTTAAAAAAAAGAATCAAGCAAGTAACAAAGAAAGACTGACGGATTTACTTCGTGAATTAAATCGATGGAAAAGAAGGAAGTCATATTCTTCTTTTACGTACCATGTCCATTTGGCTCTCTACAAATTCTGATCCTTTAGAATTCGAAATAATGTTTGCCTCCTCACTATACCTCCCACTGTCTGTTCTGCTGTTGCAGAGATTACAATATAACCTGTCTATATTTCTGAGATGAAGAATTGTCATTATTTACATTGTTCGGACTGTTGTCCTCCTCTTTATTACCATATTCACGACGTTTCGACCGTTGTACGCTCCGACCTTCTTCAGGATCTGTCTATATTTCTGAAATGATTCATTGTTCTGACTGTAGTCCTCATCTTTATTGCCATATTCACGACGTTTCGGTCCGTTGTATGCTACAGCCTTTTTCAGCTGAATGGAATTTCAGTGGACGAAATAAAGGGTTCAGTTTGAAATTCCAATCACCGGAAGTGCGCCATAGCGTACAACGGCTGAAACGTTGTTAATATAGCAACAAATATGAGAACAACAGTCATAATAATGTAAATAATCTAAAGATTACAAGATGCCTCTGTTTTCTTTTCTTGCCTTTAGTATTTCTTTTGAGTCTCAAATTCTCCAAACCATCTTTCCTCATTATGTGTCCCATAAATTTAAACTGTTTCTTTCTTTTTTTACGTTCATGTGTCTTTTTTGTTTCCACTTTCTGTAAAACTTCCTCATTGCTCACATGTTCCGTCTATGGTAGTCTTCGTATTTTTTTGTAGAAACGTATCTGCTTTTTCAAATTTCCTCTTTATCAGTGAGGAGATTGTCCAGCATTCACTGTCAATTAGGAGAGCAGTCCATCACCCTTTTCTTTGTTTCTAACAAATTTTCTTGTTTATTAATAGTTTGCTTAGCTTTTGGAAGGCATTTTATTTTCAAACAGAGATGAACATGGGCCATAAAATAGGCTACTACACACAGCATTTCAGCTGCTGCACCCACCAACTTTTAGCAGGTGTTTATCTTTAGATTAGGTAACCTTCTTAGAATTTAAACCCAAGCCCTTTCTTCAATTCACGGAGTGGGGGGGATGTTATCATTCCACATTTCATATTTAGGCAAATAACTCTCTGGTTTCATTCACATTTACTTTGTTTCTAACGGAACTTTTCTCTTTCTTTGTTTAGCTTTTGGAAGGCATTTTCTTTACAATTTGAGATCAAGAAGGACCATAATATTACAAGTCTCCACTTCATCAGAGACGAAATTGTCCAATATTCACTGCCATATAGGAAGGTTGATATTACATAGCAGTTCAGCAAAAAGAAAAAGTAGAAAAAAGAAAAGAAAGAATTAAAGTGGAATAAAAAAAAAAATTGATGAGGTGAAGGAAAAGAAGCAAAATGATAAAAAATGAAAAGAAAAATTTGATGTGGTGAAGAAAGCTGTAAGAAAAAATAGAAAAAAGAAAGAATGAAAGAGGAAGAAAAAATTGATGAGGTGAAGTGAAAGAAAAAATAGAAAGAAAAAAAGAAAAATTGAAAGAGGAAAAAATTGATGAGGTGAAGGAAAAGAAAAAATAGAAAAAAGAAAGAAAAAATGAAAAAAAAGAATTAAAGTGGAATAAAAAAAAATGAGTTGTAGGTAAAGAAGCTGAATGAAAAATAGAAAAAGAAAGAATAAAAAAGTATGAATGGAATAAAAAATTTGATGATGTGAAGGAAAAGACACTGAAAGAAAAAATAGAAAAAAGAAAGAATGAAAGAGGAAGAAAAATTTTGATGAAGTGAAGGAAAAGAAACTGAAAGAAAAAGTAAAAAAAAGAAAAAATGACAAAGGAATAAAAAAAATTTGATGAGGTGAATGAAAAAAAGATGAAAGAAAAAAGAAAGAGAAAAGAAAGATTGAAAGGGAAAAAATTGATAAATTGAAGGTAAAGAAGAAAAAACAAAAAATAGAAAAAAGAAAGAAAGAAGGAGGAATAAAAAAAATTGATATGGTGAAGGAAAAGACACTGACAGAAAAAATAGAAAAAAAAAGAATGAAAGAGGAAGAAAAATTTTGATGAGGTGAAGGAAAAGAAACTGAAAGAAAAAATAGAAAAAGAAAAGAATGAAAGAGGAAGAAAAATTTTGATGAAGTGAAGGAAAAGAAGCTGAAAGAAAAAATAGAAAAAGAAAAGAAAGATTGAAAGCGGAAAAAAATAAAGTGAAAGAAAAGAAGTAAAAAAAATAGAAATATGAAAGAATGAAAAAATAAAAAAAAGAATGAAAGAGGAAGAAAAATATTTGATGAGGTGAAGGAAAAGAAGCTGAATGAAAAAATAGAAAAAAGAAAGATTGAAAGCAGAAAAAAAATGATGAAGTGAAGGAAAAGAAGAGAAAAACAGGAAAATGAAAAATGACAGAGGAAGAAAAATATTTGATGAGGTGAAGGAAAAGACACTGAAAGAAGAAATAGAAGAATGAAATAAAAATAAAAAATACTGATAAGGTGAAGGAGAAGAATCTGAAAGAAAAAATAGAAAAAAGAAAGAATGAAAGTGGAAGAAAAAAACTCTGATGAGGTGAAGGAAAAGAAGCTGAAAGAAAAAATTAAAAAAATAAAGAATGCGACATGAGAAGAAGTTGTACTGAAAGCTGAAAAGATCAGACAAGAGATGTAAGCAGGCAGATAAAGAGGAGAATCGCTGTAGGCAAGACATGGTGAAGCAAAGAGACATTTTAACAAAACGTGTCCTCCCTAGCAAGTCAGTTTGTTGTCAGACTACAAAGAGTCTTCAATCACAGAACCAAAGGGAAAGAGTTGGGGTATGGTGGTGACCGCGACAATATAATGAACACACCGACAACAGACAACAAACCTCTTCTTTTTTTTTTGGTATTTTATTTTTCTTTTTAAAATATCTTCAGCAACCCTCTGTCACATTATCACATAAACCTCACCCACACCAATCTTTGCCAGTCATTAACTTGAGGGTGGGGGCCAGCCTAGCCGTCAGTTTGTCTTTCTTATTCGTAACGTCTGCTCCCGTTGTCTGCCATTATTGTCCAAATCCAAAAAAGTTAATACAGGAGAACGCTAATGATGGCGGAGTTCCAGACAATTGGAATTATGAAAACATTAAAGGGGTGACAAATTAAACCAATAAACAAATAAATAAATACTTCACTTAAACCATACTCTGGAAATACCTTAAAAACTCTTGACAACAATTAGGGTATATTTTTCACCTGCTGTGAAAATAATTTGAGAGTGTCACTGTTAGGAATGATAGTCTGTGTTAAAATGGAGGATGCTTCCTTTTTAGGGGAATACTGAGGTTTTTTTGTTTTCCTTTCTCTCCCATTTTCTCTCTTTAAAATTAAATTATCATATTTTTTTAAGCTGGTCTTAACACTTTTATCAAAAACAGTAGAATTTCAAATGCAAAGGCACAAAACTGTAATGGTCTACATAAATATTAATCCAATTTTACAAAGAAAGAAATATGAATGAAGTGAAACAAAAAAAGAAACAAAAAGATTCAAAAAAGGAAACAAAAAAAAACAAACAAAAAACATTTAGTATCTGTGTATATTTCTGAGATGAGGTATTATGTACATTATTTACATTATTCGAGCTATTGTCCTCATCTTTGTTGCCATATTTATTATAACGTTTTGGCCGTTGTATGCTCCGGCCTTCTTCAGGTGATTGGAATGTCAAACTTAACCCTTTGTTTTGCTCGCTGGGGTAGACTGTTCTAGTTCCATGTGCCATGTTTAATGGATGTCAATTATCAGTTATCTCTTATTAATTTTCCTCTGAAAGTTCTCCACTGCCTCAAGGACCCATGGCACAGTGGATAAAGGCGTTGGTTAGATCCAGTGACAGGACCCAAAGAGTGTAAGTTCAATACCCAGTTAAGACCTTAGTTTCTGGGAAAGAGCGTTTTATCTAGTGTGATCAACAATTTGAACAAGGCCAGCACACTCAAGCCCTCAGCCACATTGACTTGTGACTTTGTGCTAGCACAGCTATTGACAGAACCCAAGGGTTTTGTCTACCCAATTTCACTGACAAGGCTTGGGTCAACCAGTTGTATGGGTTTTCAGACATTTTCCAAAGGTGACACAGACTGGAATCGAACCCTCCAGTCTGATAACATCAGGAAGTCTCCTTCCTGACAAATCGACCATAGTGAGAGTAAAACCCGGGTCTCATAGTTAAAATGCAAACATTCTAACCACTTGGCTACGTGCCCACTTCTCTATTCTATAGTCTATACTATTTCTCTATTCAAATCACTAAATGGATTACTATTCAAGCGAGTATTATCGAGCAAGTACTATTAGTGAGAGTGATATTCGAAGGCATCTGACACTAGTATTGTTCAACGGCATTACTATAGGTTTGGTTTATTATGTTTAACGGCATATCAACCTCAATGGGTTATTTAATGCCGACAACATCTTTAGGATAGATTCGTATGAATAGAATATGTATTCTTTGGTTTAGATTGGGTTGGTTTATTTTGTTTTACAGAATATCAACCTCAATGGGTTACTTAATGCCGACAACATCTTTAGGATAGATTCGTATGAATAGAATATGTATTCTTTGGTTTAGATTGGTTTGGTTTATTTTGTTTAACGGCATATCAACCTCAATGGGTTATTTAATGCCGACAACATTTTTAGGATAGATTCGTATGAATAGAATATGTACTCTTTGGTTTAGATTGGTTAGGTTTATTTTGTTTTACGGCATATCAACCTCAATGGGTTATTTAATGCCGACAACAGTTTTAGGATAGATTCGTATGAATAGAATATGTATTCTTTGGTTTAGATTGGTTTGGTTTATTTTGTTTAACGGCATATCAACCTCAATGGGTTATTTAATACCAACAACATTTTTAGGATAGATTCGTATGAATAGAATATGTATTCTTTGGTTTTGATTGGTTTGGTTTATTTTGTTTTACAGCATATCAACCTCAATGGGTTATTTAATGCCGGCATAATTTTTTATTGCTGCTAATATTTTGTCAAAAATCTGTTTCTGGTAATAATTTTTTCCAAAAAAGTATTGCTGATAATAGTTAACTATTTGCCCATAGCTAGGACCCTAACAGGTGCTACCACCCCAGGTCAAGGTGGACCTGGAATCACCAGCAATTAAGAGGTGGTTCCACACTCCTGAGAACCTCCTGATCAGAGGCTTTGCTGCTGGACGTAGTTTATCGTCTTACCCAGGACGAGCCAGTACTATAGTTTTATCTGCAATTACAAAGTCTTTACTACAACGAGAATTACAAAAGTGACAATGAAAATTCATTGGCATCACAAAAGTGGCAACGAGTGTTCATTCACATCACGAAACTCTGAAAAGTATTATGAAGAATAATGTCTAATAGAAGAGAGACGATAAAGTCTACTTTCAGATACAGTTCCCAACCATTCAACCACGGTCCTGTCTTGCTTGGCTGACTCATAATTGATAGCAATGAAATATGTAATTAATTTCCAAACGACCTAATACCCTATTTGATGGCATATAATCACTCTCCCGCTCTGTTATAAAAAAAAGTTTTGTATGCAATGAGCTGGTCATGTGACAATGATGGAAGATGAGAGCCTCACAAAGATATGCCTCTTTGAGAAATTAGCCTTTGGCCAGTGAAGAAATGCAGGAACCACTGAAGAGAGAGACTTCCTAAAAAAAAAAAAAGCCCCTAAAGAACCCTCATCTCTTGCAGAGTCAATAAACATTAACTTTAAATGGAAACAGATGACAGGGCCATGTGGCAAAACATTTGACTACTGTATGGGCATAGCTAACCATCACAGAGCCTGCAGCAAATATATAAGACCCTCACAAATCCTTTATCTCCATAATGATAATTATGGATTTTTTATTATTAAATGTTCACCTAATGCAAATCCCAAGAGCCACTCAAGATACAGGATTATTGAATGAGGTTATTGTATGGATGTAAGAGAAAGAAGTACGAATTGAGAATATGTAGGATAGATAATATTTGACCTTAGACATTAAGAAGACAATATTATTGTGATCAAGGAATTATCCTGTTTGAAGTCTCTTCCAAAATGTAGTATAGAGTTAATCGAGTTGTGCTAGTTACAAGTACAGGTTTTCTATCACTTCTGGGTAGACATTAGCATACCAAATGCTTCAACTTTATATACAATAACTTAGAGATAATTTTAGCTAAGTAAAAAGTGTTGGTTTTATATGCCTTCAATTACAGAAATTTCTACTATCCTGAGAAATATCAGGAAGAACACAGGGTAATATTAACCTTTTCCTTATAAGGAAACCTTTGGCATTGATTGACCGAGAAGACAATGATACTTGACTTATGCTTTTCTTCATGCTCATTGGGAACAGTGATATACACTATTCAACGGTCAAACTCTCTGTTTCGTCCAGAGAGGTAGAGGGGCACTGAACATGTTTATACGGGTTCAAAGGGAATATTTTTGGCCAAACCTATGGGCTCGGAGAACCCACAATAAACCAGCCTTGTGCCACATACGACCTGTGTGGGAGGGAGGGGGTGTTAAATATAATGGTCATTGGGCTTGGATCAAAGTGTAGTATCTGCCCTTGGGTGGATAAATTACATTTTTTTTTTCTCAATAGTGTCACGATTATGGACAGAGCACAACTCTGTTGTGACTGCAGACAATGCACAATATTGTTAAAAGCAGCTCGGTCTCCTGGAAAAGCTTCCTGCAGGATTACGTTCCTCAATGCCCTAAAGAGGTAGGTGATTGGCAGTAATACCAATGTTAGGACAACTGACAGTTGCTGGGACTGGCCCAAGTGCACAAGCTCAGGCTCCCCACATTGAACTGACCTTGTGTCATATACTGCCAGTGTGGGGGCAGCATGTAAATACAAAGTCTAGTACTTGCATTAGGGTGAATAAACTACATTTTATTTCTCAGTCGTGTTTCTGTCTTTAGAAAGACACAAGAAATAAATGAGAGATGCCTAGTCCCAGGAATCCCAATCCTGCAACAGTACCTCCCGCAAGGGGGGGGGTTAGTGAAATATTGACATCAACACATCTATTGCAATGACTGGACAATTTCTGGCCTTAGCCCAGGTGTACGTCATTTGGCTTCCCACTTTAAACTGGCCTTGTACCAAATTCTGTCACTATGGGTGTGGGGAGGTACAATTAAATAACAAGTGTAGTACCTATTCTCCTATCTCTAATGGTAATAGCAACTTTAGCTGTTTCCTTACAAGGAAACATTTGGCCTTCGTGTTTTCAATATGTCCTGTGAGTATTAATTTCTCCAAGCCATCTTTCCTCATTATGTGCCCTAGAAATTTCATTTATCTTTTTCTAAGTGTTCTTTTTGTTTTCATTTTCCATTAAAATAAGGTGTCTACTTTCTGTTGAATATTTTAGAATATACTTAATATATATGATTCCCTATAATTCAAGACTTTTTTCCATCTATTGGGGATCTTGGGGCATACCTACTGTGTGCGTTTGTATAAATCTGTATATATCTGCATTCATAACACTTTTTGTAGAAAATAACCACTGATCCTATGTCTGTTGAGTTTCATTTCCTAATGTAAGCAAAGTAATTTCTAAAGAAGCAATGGATTTTTTTTTTTAAATTAGTAATCTACCTGTTATGGAGCGTTTATTCAAATATGGTTATCCACTAAAATTAACGTGTGTGTGTCTCATGACAGGAAACAAATATGTAATCCCCTTTTCAACCAAGCATGAATGTGTTTGCCTGGACTAAAAAAGAAATGCAGGTTTGATTTCTGTCAAAAGACACATTTGTTTTACTAAGTCTTTCAATCTCTAGGCCAATAGACATTAATTTCAGATTAATGCCATATTAAAAATTTGATTCTGTATACAGTATATATATAACTAGCTCTTGTGGAGGGCTCTAGATTGTGCCTTCATCACAATAGGTAAGGAGTAGGAGATATGATAGGCAACAATAAACTACAGAAGAACTCAAAAATGATCACTGCATTTAAACTTTGCATCAATATTTAAGCTTACCTTTTAAAAATTTAATAATAATTCTTCTGCCGTCACTTAATTTAAAAACTGCTTGATGGACATAGGTCCTTACTTTCCATACAAACAGGTATATAAGTAGACATTGAAGTCAACACCCAGTAGCAACAGTCTGTTTCAGGCTGAAACAAACTGTCATTGTTAGGTGGTGACTTATATATATATATATATATATATATATATATATATGTATGTATGTATGTATGTTTTGAAGGTACGCTATATTTAGGAGTAAAGGGGCTCCATATCAGAGATAGAGTGTATGTAAATGTAAAATTGACATCATTGTTGTTATATTAGCATTTTTCAAGACGCTGTTAGACTTGATATGAAGAGAATGAGATAGATCGATAGATAGATACATACATACATATATATATATATATATAGATAGATAGATAGATAGATAGATAGATATGAAGTGAATTAGATAGATAGATAGATAGATAGATAGTTAGATAGATAGATAGATAGATATGAAATGAATTAGATAATGAAATGAATTAGATAGATAGATAGATAGATATTGAAATGAATTAAATGAATTAGATAGATAGATAGATAGATAATGAAATGAATTAGATAGATAGATAATGAAATGAATTAGATATGAAGTGAATTAGATAGATAGATAGATAGAGAGATAGATAGATATGAAGTGAGATAGATAGATAGATAGATAGATAGATAGATAGATATGAAATGAAATGAATTAGATAATATAGACAGATAGATATGAAGGGAAGTGAATGCGATAAATAAATCTCTATATATGTATTCAAAATAAGTTAAACCCAAGTTATCTGAAGATGAAATGAAGTTCATCAGGAAAAAACACAGAAAAAAAAAAGCATGTGTAAATTATTCTTTCCTTTCTTAAAGCTGACAAATTGGAAAACAGGAACAGCAGGAATTCAAATATAAAAAATATGAAAACAAAATGGTCAAAGAAATTGGCGCCATTCCAAAGGAAACTTTGCCAAATACTACAAGAACAAAGCAGTGACATGGCAAGAATACAGAAAAGAGAATCGCATTTCAACGGACACTTGCTACTCGATTTCAAATTAAATACATGTGAATTTGGGAGACAAAAAATATGATGATGATAATAATGACTGTAAAATAATTTTCCTAAAAGATATTAATGACGATAATGCTAATAATGGCGATGAGAAAATAATAAAGAAATAAAATTAATGAGTCATGATAAAAGGTCTAATAACCATTTGGTGAATTTTAATTCAAAGGGAGGTAATTCATTTAACCTGACAGCATTTCACTGCCCTGACTCGAGTTTGTTTTGAAGTCATTGTTTTCACACCAATTGATGTCAATCAATTATTGTTCAGTAGAACAACTGATGATCAATTTATTATCCTCAAGAAAGGGCAATAGCTAAAAAAAAAATAGAAGGTGAAAAAAATTGCTGGTATTCACTTCTATATTAACCCATATGCAAATTAAAAATTTGCAAATTAAAGTGTCTTCATAACGGACTTACTCAATCTATACAGTGAGGAGATTCTGAGAAGATTAGAAGTTGAGACGCAGTCTCTGACTGTGTGCGACGTCTGTCGAACTCTCTGCTTTGGCAGAGAGGAACCCAGGCAAAGTTTCGTCCGGGGAGGTAGGCAGATCCCGAACTCGCTTATGCGGGTTCAAAGGGGATATTTTTTAGCTGAGCCTATGTGCTTGGAGAAACCCACGTTAAACTCGGCCTTGTGCCACATACATTCCTCGTGGGTGGACTGTTAAATATCGAGATTCATTATTGGCAGCCACAATCTTAATATAAGCTATCAGCAGTGTTGATAGCAGATATGAAAAGGAAACTGCAAGAACTACAGATATGAAGTGAATTAGATAGATAGATAGATAGATAGATAGATAGATAGATAGATAGATCAGCAGAGTGAGACAGATAGAAATGGAGAGACTGAAATCGATACATAGATAGATTGATATGAAGAAACTGAAATAGGTAGAGAGAGTGAGATAGATAGACAGAAAGATAGCTATGAAGAGACTGAAATAAATAAATGAACGGAATGAGATAGATAGATAGATAGATAGATAGATAGATAGATAGATAGATAGATAGATAGATAGATAAGCAGACTGAAACAGATAGATATGAAGAGACTGAAATAGGTAGAGAGGGAGACATACAGAAAGATAGCTGACTAAAATAAATAGATGAATGGAATGAGATAGATAGATAGATAGATAATCAACAGAGATAGATAGATAGATAGATAGATAGATAGATAGATAGATAGATAGATAGATAGATAGATAAAGGGATGATCAACAAAGATAGATAGATAGATCGATAATCAACATAGATAGATAGATAGATAGATAGATAGATAGATAGATAGATAGATAGATAGATAGATAGATATGAAGATAATATAGAGAAGATAGTGAACTATGGTGAAGGAAAGTGAAAATTAAAGAACTAAATATCAATTGCAAGATGACGAAATGCACGGTTGTTTGCTGAAGGAAGGGCCCAATATGCAAATCACAAATTGGAGATACCAAAATCAAACATTTGCCAAAATTTAAATATCTAGGAAGCATTTTAACAGAGGACGGAAAGTGCGAAACTGAAACCTGAAGGTAAATTATGATAGCAAATGATACATTCCAAAAGATGAGCAGAATATTACGAAACAGAAAAACAAAGAAAAGAGTGCCAAACTGTGGCACAATATCAGGCTTACTATATAGCAGTGAATGCTGGATAACCTCCTCAAAGATAAGAAGAGACTTGAAACAACAGAAATGTGGTTCTACAGAAGGATGCTGAGGATACCCTGATCTGAAACAACCAAGTTTTAGAGAAAATGGAAACAAAAAGGAAACATATATTTAACATCAGAAAAAGACAGTTCAAATTTCTAGGGAACATAATGAGGCAAGAGGGCTTGGAAAATCTGATACTCACAGGACAGACTGAAGGCACGAAGGAAAGAGAAAAACAACACAAAACATACAAAATGAGATTGAGTAAATGGTTAGCGGAAAAAAGGTTGAGGAGAGATAACAAAAAGACAAAATTTATTAAGAACTACAAAGGACAGGAAATTGTGGAGAGCCATGATTGCCAACGATCTGAAGGGACACGGCACAAAGAGAAGAAAACGATTAACCCATATCCAATTTTGACCACATTTTTTCTGAATTTCTCTTTATATTTTCCAGAAGTATTGATTGATTTGTTTTTTAAAAGCTTATTAATTCTTTTTTATGAGTGAATCTTGTATTAACAATCTTTTTTGAAATAGTTATGCTTCCAGATTCCAGCCCTCTTATTTAACCCATAGCTGGGGGGGATAAGAGATAGATTCATAACTTTTCCGAGGATATTTTTGTGTAAGTGAATATAACAAACACAACTGGAATTTGGACTCGGCTCTCTCTGATTTCTTATTTCGTGCTTCTCTCAATTACAAGTCACGATGGAAATTACATAGAACATCTTTTCATTTTATGAATAGAACACAAAATAATTTGGATATTTTAATAATTTAGGAAATAAATCAAATTATTTATTTCCATTCTTTAGAGAAAGCACAAACAATCATTATGGTATTCTTTAAATTCATATTTCATCTTAATTTTAGTTACTTCTTATTGCAACTCAAAGACCATCTTTTTGCACCAATTAGTAAGGCGTCTTGAGTAAGACGATAAACTACATCTGCATCCTGGGTAAGACGATAATCTACACCCAACAGAAAGGCCTCTGACCAGATTTTGAAAAACATGGAGCTACTTCTTAATTGCTGCTGTCCCTGGGTCCACCCTGACTCGGGGTGGTAGCACCTGTTAGGGTCCCAGCTATGGGCAAATAGCTCCAAACTAGGGTCAAAACACTATGAAAATGTAAAAATAGGTTTTAATACCAGCAATACACTTTTGCAAAAGGTTATTACCAGCAATGAATTTTTTAAGAAAAAATTATTACCAGCAATACATACTTTTTAAAAAAAATATTACCAGCACTACATTTTTGGCAAAAAAATATTAGCAGCAATGCTAAAATTACACCTTTAAGTGCCGACTCTAGGTGCGTCATCAGTGTCACTAGAAGTTTCAGGTCTAAATAAACAACAGACTTCTTCAATGGATAATATGACTGAATATGATCAGTATTCGGACCGCATCCAGAGTAAATTTTTCTACTAGTTTTAAGACGTGCTTTATATAAATTGCCCCGGAAAATGGCAACCAATCAAATCTACACTTGGGCTATTTGATGTTATAAATTGGGTATGCTTGGTTGTACTGATTTTCCTACATGAGGCCAAGACGGGGTGTTTTTTTAAGAAAAACATAAATAAAATACGATCAAACCAATGAATATATATACATTAATAAAATAAAATAAAAATCTTAGTTATTATATTGGCTTGTCTTACAACTTATTTTTCTTTCTTTTCCTCCCCTTTTAAATTCTTTATTATTTCTTTTTTTTTTTATCCTTTTCTTCTCTTTATATAACTCCTTTTTATTCTTAACTACACTTAAAAAACGTTTAAATTAGAGTGATTAACATGATTTACTCAAACTACAAGGTAACCAAAAAAGTTCTGTCCGTTTTTAAAGGAAAATAGAAAACACTTCAGAGTATGTGTAATTATATTTAGTTTTCGAAGTAATCGCCATCGGCATCCAGCACCTTCTGCCAATGTGTCTTCAGCTGTTCAATGCCCTTGCGGTATAACTCAGGGGAGGTTTGACGCAAAGAAGTCCGTGAGGGCTTTGCACAAGTCTGATTCATTGGTGAAGGATTTCCCATGAAGGTGATTATCCAGGGAGTGGAAGAGGTGGTAATCAGATGGCACAAGGTCAGGTGAATAAGGTGGATGGCACAAAGTCTCCCACCCAAGTTGCTATATGGTATCCCTGACCACTCGTGCGACATGCGGCCTGGCGTTGTCATGGAGGAAAAGCACACCTTTGCGATTCACCAGTGCTGGCTGCGCAATGCCTGTTGCACACATTTCAATTTCTGCGAGTATAGGTCTCCAGTGACCATTTGGCCCATTGGTAGCAGTTCATAATGAACCACTTGACGACCTGTCCACCAGACACAAAGCATAATCTTGCGTGGATGCATAGGCAGTCTTGCGATGTCAGACAACCAATGTCTTGAATGCTTGGGAGTTTCATACAGAACCCACTTTTCATCACTGGTAAGCACTCGATGTGGTATGGTGGCGAGAAAGCAGTGATACGCAGGCTGCCACTTGTTGACCCTTGTGGACCTCCAACAGTGTTTGCAGAACCCACTTGCTCAGTTTGTACGTCTTACCTAGGCGGTGCAGGTGAAGTCTGTTTCATTGGAAACGTTGAACTGTCTTGCAAGTTTACCACATGTTAGACTACTGTCCTCTTCAATGGCCGCCTTCAGGACTCCGTCATTCAAGACCTGTGGTCATCCACTGCGAGACTCATCATGGAGAGACAAATCTCCCGACTTGAATTTTCGAAACCAACGCCTTGCATTATGTTCATCCACAGCACTATACCCAAACGCTTGACATATGCGGCGACTTGATGCAGCTTCTGATAAAGCCCACTTTGAAGTCATAAAGCAAACAGCCCCCAACGAGATCTCTAGACACTTCCATCTTTCTCACAGCTGTCCGGCTTATAACTGATGGCCGGGCACGGTGCGTATGTTTTTTATAACGTCTGATGTTCCTACTTCCGGCTGTCCGAATTTGAAAACAATTGCTACACGCATTTCGTATATATTTCAACTTCATTCAATGACTAATCAAAAAACGGACAGAATTTTTTTGGTTACATTGTATTTACAAAAAAAAAAATGTTTAGTATATAGTGTGAGATAGGCAAGAAGTAAAGCATGTAGCAACATCAGCACAGCAAAGGTAACTCCTTTAAAGGCAAGGAAGGGCAAAAATATTTTAAGTGATAGCGATTGCTGTATGAGTTGTACGATTTTTGAATCAAGCATGGGCAACGCCAGGCCATGCTGCTAGTTAAAGCTAAAATGAAGGCTTCAAAAAAGCTTTTTCATTCTTAAAAATTAATTTTAAACCTTAGGTTTTGCAAATTTGTGGAGGTTCATACTATTTAGGCTTCCTAAGAAAAAAATGGAATTGGAGATCAAGTATTATCAGAGGTTTACTCTTTATTTTTTCATCAAAATTATTTAGTAATGACAAAAGGATTATAAACTGAAAATTGTAATAAAAAGTAACTGAAATTAAGATGAAAGAAACACTAGTTGTGAAATCTTTGTATTTCATGTCATATAAAATGCACTTTTTTCCTCTAAAATTGCTAAAATATCTATGCCTTATCCTTTATAAATCCACATCAGATTTTGCCTGTGTGTTCCTAGCTTACATCAATAGAACAAAACAACCAAGTTGGTATTTAATCACCTTAAAATTTCAAAACTCATTATATATAAGTAAGCTTTCTGTTGATAAGGTTTGTTTATTTTTAAATCCACTGCATTCACATGGAAAGAATTTATATCTGCCATGTCAAAATTAAGTCCTAAGTTAGAAAAAATATCCATGTATTTACATTTAAAGAAAATGTAAAATAAATGTGTGGTGATATGCAAATGAAATGCTATTTAAGTGGGAAAAGTTCTACACTCAAAAGGTAGTTACCTCCCTTTGACTGCAGTGCTTACTTGTGAGGAACTATACAACATGGCATTGCCAATAGGATACCTAACCTTATTAGAGGATCCGGAGCTTGTGGAGATGTGGATGAGATGTTTCACGGCATTGGCGTGAGTCAAGAAATTGAGTGACAGCAAAAATAGAGGAGGAGCAAATGAAGTAACGGATTTATTTCTAACATCAGTGGGTTACAAGGCCATGAAAAAGATCTCCTTAATGGCATATCCAAAGGTGTAAGAAGACTTGACATTTGAAGAAATTGCCAACATTGTACAAGCAAATGTATGTCTGAAAAAGAAATTGGTCATAGCTGAGAGGATAAAGTTTCTTGAAATCAGGCAAAACCCAAAAGAAACCATTAGACAGTACATTCACAGGATAAAAGCATCATCGAAGTACTGTGAATTCAAAAAGTTGGGTACAGGACTGATGTTTCTTGATGAGAAATTAATATAGTTAAGGTTTGGTTTACAGGACTGATGTTATTTGATGAGAAATTTTTAGGATATAGTTAAGGTTTGGTTTATTTTGTTTTATGGCATATCAACCTCAATGGGTTATTTAATGCCGACAAGATTTTTAGGATAGATTCGTATGAATAGAATATATATTCTTTGGTTTAGATTGGTTTGGTTTATTTTGTTTTACTGCATATCAACCTCAATGGGTTATTTAATGCCAACAAGATTTTTTATTGCTGGTAATATTTTGTTTTGTCAAAAATCTATTTCTGGTAATATTTTTCCTTCAAAATTGTATTGCTGGTAATAGTTAACTATTTGCCCATAGCTAGGACCCTAACAGGTGCTACCACCCCAGGTCAGGGTGGACCTGGGAACATCAGCAATTAAGAGGTGGTTCCACGCTCCTCAAAACCTCCTGATCAGAGGCCTTGCTGCTGGACGTAGTTTAATGTCTTACCCAGGACGATTAATATAGTTAAGTTTAATTGACAGACTGTATGACGTCTCAAATAAGTACAAAATTTGGGAACAGCTTCAAGTCCAGAACATGAATATTGAAATGAGTTTTGAATTTTTACAACAGCTCAGAATTAATTCATTTAATACCCCTAACATGGAGACATACCGAACTATGGAAAGTTTATGTAAATGTCATTTTGGCAACAAAGAACATGAGATGAACAAATATAAATGCCTGTCTTTTGGAAAAATGTGTTTTAAGTACAAGAAGAAAACCCATTTCCAGTCCGAATGCAAATATAAAATCCAGTTGAAGTGAGGAAGATAGATCTCTGAAGAGAAACACGGAAATTTATGGAGTAAAGGTGAGAGACAAGAGCAGAGAAAAAGTAAAAATAAATAACTAATGCAAATGGATATAGGTAGTAATCTAACCATAATACCCAAGAATTTGGGGGAGAAAATGGAGAGACCGAAATTAAGGTGGACCTATCTGCAATTAAAACAATTTGATGGGTCAGTTATTAAAACAGACAGATGCTTTGAGTGGGTGTTTCAGACAAACACTCGATTCAAAATATTACCAATCATAGTTGTGGAATGCATAAAAAATCATGGTCTTCTGGGGGTTGACATGTTAAGTGTAGACACCTCAAATTTAATTAATTGCCTGAAATCAGAAGGACCTGAGATTTGACTTTTAAAAAATTATGAGGCAAGTTCAGCTCAAAGAGAATAGCCAACCTGCATATTTTCCGTCTCATAAAGTTCCTGTTCACCTTCTGCCTGTGGTTAGAGTGAAAATCAATAAAATGATTATATATATATATAAATATTTGAGCAGGTCAGACAGGGAAGTAACAATTGGGCTTCTCCAATTGTAG